CTGCTATTCTGGATTAAATGTTTTAACGGAGGTAATCATAATAGTGATTCTTGTTTTTATAATTGACTTTTTACTTTTATTGAAAATTATTATGTTAACTAGAATCAATAAGTTTTATTTTAATTTATTATGTGTGTTGACTAGAATATATAATATATTAATTCTTGTTCTTACAATTGACAATTTGCTTTAATCTAATTTTATTATTGTTAACTAGAATCATTAGTTTTATTTTAATTTATTATGTTGACTAGAATGAGGAAGTTCTTTGGTTCAATTATTGACATCTAAGATTGGTAGTTCAGCGATGCACGTACGGATGATATCGAAGTGTTTAAAGAGAGGAAGCTGTCATCTCAGTCACGAGGAAATTTCTATCGTATATCAAAGCATAGCACATGTAGTGCAAACATTATAATAATGACAGAATTTGACGATTCACCTATTATAGGATTAATTGTTAGATTTTAAAATCTTGCGTGAGGAAATGTATATAACTGTAATACCGAAAAAAGCGAATATATGTTGTGAGATAAGTTAGAATATGTATCGAAGTACTGCTATAGGTTTGGTTTATGCATTATTTGTTTAATATTGAGAATGGTCTGATGACAGACCGAAACGTCTATTTATCATTAATTATGTATCATTAAGATGAGTAAAATAGAAATAATTTTTTAATAAGAATTCGCTATTTCAATCCTGCGCACGTGGAAAAAGCCATTTATAACCGAAAGTTATCTTTTAAATCAATCCACGGTTTATTATTTATTAAAATAAAAAACAGATCCATAGTTTACATAGAACTCTCTCTCTCTCTCACTTGTTTTGGTAAGGGCTTAATGCTGCGGTTGGAGTAGTGTATATGTCAGAAGAGGCTTGATTATTTGAAGTACCATTTCTGATTGAACCATCTATAAATACAAAAATTTTGTTACATACCAAAGTATCACAAATCTAAATTAATTGATAATTTATTCTAAATACAGTTGACACACATCAACAATATACTTACTTTGGTAATGTGCAGTTGTGGCCTTAGATGTAGATGTAGACGTAGACGTAGACGTAGATTAAAGCTCTGGCTTCATTTCTATATTAGTTGGATTACCTATTTTGTTTCCGACTTGATCGCCAGAAACCAATACTTCAATATCCAATATCAACATAACGCGTCTAATAGAATAAAATTTGATGCTTGAATAATTTATATACTTAAATGTATAAATAAGAAGATGAAATAGTACATGTCTTTGCTGATGTCCGGTGAAATCATGAAATACTTAGTTATTTTGCAGATCGCATAATCATTCAAAATATTCTCTGTGATCAGATTGTTCAATTGAGTGTTCAATATCGTGAATGAGTGTAACTTCTGTCCATCAGATATCAGCAACATGAATCGATCAGTACCAGAACCATCTTCATTTGCATTTCTTGACAGTTTCTTGTAACTCTGCAAAATTACGCACATTATTTAAAACTCTATTTCCTAAAAAGCTACAAGACAGAATCCTTGCTATAAAGGTACTGCGAAAGAGCTTAACCTTTTGTACATACGACTTGGTCAATCATATCCTATACATTTCTTTTCTTTGAAATATATGTATAGAATTAATTTTTTTTTAAACAACGAAAATTAACCCAGAATACAAATGACCCGTCACATATAATAAAAGTTAATTTTTGACAATAAAAATGAGTTTAACATAACAGACTCATGACACATGTCACATCAAAGTATGACAAACTTTATATTTTTCAATCTATAATCCAAATAAAAGCAACAGGAGCAGCGTCACTTCCCTAACCTGGATGTTGCTAGCTATAAAAGTCATGTTTTCAAAATGAACAATTTCGATTCGCAAAGATATAACTGATCAGATTCTGTCAAATTATTTCCGCACTCACCAATACTTGAAGAACTGGGTTAGGGACACGTATGCCTTGCATGATTTTCTGAAACAGTACAGTCTTAATGTTAAACAGCGCAATATATAGAAACTTCGAAAGACTTACCTCCAATGCTCCTTCCGTTAAATTGTACATGATTGCGGTTTATTATTATCAGCACGGCCGTAAGAGTCTATCAATTTCTTATCGAAACAGAGAGCTTTCGCAAAAAAGTTCCAAATTAACGATCACGCACAATAACGCTTGCCTTAGCCTGCCTCTCTTCGCAGCGCTACGTTTTACTACGTTCTAGTCTGTTGTTCTACTGTTTCCCGCCAAATAGATGACTTCGGCAGTCGGCTGCGTTTAATGATGCTAGTCGTGGGAATTATGCCCATACAGTAAAGTCACTAGATTAACAAAGTACCGCGATGAGAAAATTCACTGTTGGTGCGGTGAGCGGTCCACTTGGCGTTACAAACGCTTCGAAAGGGAGGGCTCCGATTGCACACAACGCATATTGCACACATGTATCGCTGATTGGCCAATTTAAAAATAAAATAATCTCATTGGCAAAACAGTAAAAAATTACTAGGCACCAGTTGATATGAGTGGTGTGTACAATCAGAACCGTAGGCAAACGGGATCCTCCCGTAGCATTAAAGCCCGTCTACAGTACACGGAGTAAGAAGTAAGAGTAAGAAACTGATCAATCACAGTCGAATGTGAGAAGAATAATATACTGTGATTGGTCAATTTCTTAGGGTATATCCACACAAACTTGCATAGTCGCATAAACGTATGCATAAAGAAAATTATCCAATCACACTTTACGTGCGTCTCTATAGGAGAAACATGATTAGGTAATTTTCTTTATGCATACGTTTATGCGGCTATGCAAGTTGTGTGATATACCCTTAAGCGGGGAGCACAGACTCTTGCATAACGCATAACACATAATGCATAAGAATATGTACCAATCGAAGTTCTCCGTTTCTTTCCCTTCCATGTAATAGAGAACTCTGGTTGGTTCAATTTCTTATGCCTCATATGTTATGCGTTATGCAAGAGTCTGTGCTCCCCGCGTTACTCTTACTTCTTACTCCGTGTATTGTAGACGGGCCTATAAGTGGACCGTAGCCTGTATTAAACTGGTTCTACATTAGTCGCATCGCAGCATTGCAGTCCAATAAACATCAAGCTGGTTCGACTCTGATTGGACCGCAACGCTTGCGACACACTTGCGATGCTGCGCTGCGATTATTGTAGAACCAGCTTTGGAGGCCTAGATAACAGAGATGCGACGTTGAAGGGTATGGTCTGATTGGCTGTCTAATTCACGTGATTAGAGCGCCATTTTAATTCATTACTGCGTATAATTAGAGTCCTAGAATTATACTTTCTTCTTTTCTAACAATTTAACTTTCCTCATGTAATGCATCAGCTGTCGTCAGCTTATAAATGTACCTTTTCATGCCGACCCTCGACGTTCATTTTCGGCGTCAAAATAAGTCACTTGATAGAAATTGACGAATATCAAGGGTCAATTTTGTTCTTGTGATTTATTTTGACGCTGAAAACAACTGAAAACGAGCGTCGAGCGTCAGCATGAAAAAACACCTTATGGCTATAAGTACTTATACTGAATTAAAATGGCGATGACGACCTAATCCAACCAACGCAATGTCGCATCTCTGGTATCTCTAGTCTATAGGTGCGTTCCGTACACAGACTTCTATATATACTACTAGACTGCTAACTCGTTTGAAAAAGTGGAACCCAATTTCGATGTGCATTATACGCATGCGTCGAGAACCGCACCGCGTGACCCGTGCGACACATGCGCATACAATCGATGCGAATAGCCATATTGTAGCCGTAAGTAATGTTAAGAAGACCCCTTCACCTCAATTTTTTATAAAAATTTACTCAATTGATGCGTTTTTGCATGAAACGAAAGAATCTGGGAGAAAAAAGTGTCGCTCTGCCTCGCGAACCGAGATATTTAGCCTTAAAGTTGACAACTATGTAGGTTAGGAAATCTCACAGCCACGAAATTCATTACTTTAAAAATAAATTCACTTTAACGCTTACGCTTCATATCTCGGTTCGCGAGGCAGAGCGACAATTTTTTTGCCAGATTTCTTCGTTTCATGCAAAAACGCATCGATTGTATGCGCATGTGTCGCACGGGTCACGCGGTGCGGTTCTCGACGCATGCGTATAATGCACATCGAAATTGGGGTCCACTTTTTCAAACGAGTTAGCAGTCTAGTAGTATATATAGAAGTCTGTGGTACGGAACGCACCTATAGACTAGAGGCCTAGATACCAGAGATGCGACATTGCGTTGGTTGGATTAGGTCGTCATCGCCATTTTAATTCAGTATAAGTACTTATAGCCATAGGCCCATATTCAGAACGCGCTTACGACGATGTTAGCACGCTAACATACCATACTTTACGTCACGCATATTATAGAATTTCAGAGATAAAAGTGCGCTTTTATCGATAAAAGCGCGTTCTGAATACGGGCCATAAGGTGTTTTTTCATGCTGACGCTCGACGCTCGTTTTCAGTTGTTTTCAGCGTCAAAATAATTCACAAGAACAAAATTGACCCTTGATATTCGTCAATTTCTATCACGTGACTTATTTTGACGCCGAAAATGAACGTCGAGGGTCGGCATGAAAAGGTACCTTTATAAGCTGACGACAGCTGATGCATTACGTGAGGAAAGTTAAATTGTTAGAAAAAGAAGAAAGTATAATTTTAGGACTCTAATTATACGCAGTAATGAGTTAAAATGGCGCTCTAATAACGTCATTTAGACAGCCAATCAGACTATACCCTTCAACGTCGCATCTCTGTTATCTAGAGGTTTGTTCGCGTCGCACGCTCCAATATGCTCCTGTTCATTCCAACGTGCTCCAATACGTTCGCGTCACCGGAACCAATATGGCAATTAGATGTTCGCGTCACATTAGAGCATACCCCATGGATCAATTAAGAGCATGCTCTATTTGCTTCACCTCAGAAGGTGGTGCAGTTGGGACATGTTACGCACGCATGCGTAATGATTGAGAATGGGTAGTGTTGAGAGAAGTATTTCATGGTTCTTAATTCCCACGACTCGCATCATTAAACGCAGCCAAAGTGAAAAGTCATCTATTCGGCGGGAAACAGTAGAACAACGGACTAGAACGTGCTAGAACGTAGTAAAACGTAGCGAAGAGGGGCAAGCGTTATTGTGCGTGATCGTCAAGATTTGGAACTTTTTTGCGAAAGCTCTCTGTTTCGATAAGAAATTGATAGACTCTTACGGCCGTGCTGATAATAATAAACCGCAATCATGTACAATTTAACGGAAGGAGCATTGGAGGTAAGTCTTTCGAAGTTTCTATATATTGCGCTGTTTAACATTAAGACTTTATTGTTTCAGAAAACCATTCGAGGTATATATGCCCCTAACCCAATTCTTCAAGTATTGGTGAGTGCGGAAATAATTTGACAGAATCTGATCAGTTATATCTTTGCGAATCGAAATTGTTTATTTTGAAAACATGACTTTTATAGCTAGCAACATCCAGGTTAGGGAAGTGACGCTGCTCCTGTTGCTTTTATTTGGATTATAGATTGAAAAATATAAAGTTTGTCATACTTTGATGTGACATGTGTCATGAGTCTGTTATGTTAAACTCATTTTTATTGTCAAAAATTAACTTTTATTATATGTGACGGGTCATTTGTATTCTGGGTTAATTTTCGTTGTTTAAAAAAAAATTAATTCTATACATATATTTCGAAGAAAAGAAATGTATAGGATATGATTGACCAAGTCGTATGTACAAAAGGTTAAGCTCTTTCGCAGTACCTTTATAGCAAGGATTCTGTCTTGTAGCTTTTTAGGAAATAGAGTTTTAAATAATGTGCGTAATTTTGCACAGTTACGAGAAACTGTCAAGAAATGCAAATAAAGATGGTTTTGGTACTGATCGATTCAGATTGCTGATATCTGATGGACAGAAGTTACACTCATTCACGATGTTGAACATTCAATTGAACAATCTGATCACAGAGAATATTTTGAATGATTATGCGATCTGCAAAATAACTAAGTATTTCATGATTCCAGCGGACTTCAGCAAAGACAAGTACTATTTCATCTTCTTATTTATACATTTAAGTATATAAATAATTCAAGCATCAAATTTTATTCTATTAGACACGTTATGTACATATTGGATATTGAAGTATTGGTTTCTGGCGATCAAGTCGGAAACAAAATAGGTAATCCGACTAAAATAGAAATGAAGCCAGAGCTTTAATCTACGTCTACGTCTACGTCTACATCTACATCTAAGGCCACAACTGCACATTACCAAAGTAAGTATATTGTTGATGTGTGTCAACTGTATTTAGAATAAATTATCAATTAATTTAGATTTGTGATACTTTGGTATGTAACAAAATTTTTGTATTTATAGATGGTTCAATCAGAAATGGTACTTCAAATAATCAAGCCTCTTCTGACATATACACTACGCCAATCGCAGCATTAAGCCCTTACCAAAACAAGTGAGAGAGAGAGAGAGAGAGAGAGTTCTATGTAAATTATGGATCTGTTTTTTATTTTAATAAATAATAAACCGTGGATCGATTTAAAAGATAACTTTCGGTTATAAATGACTTTTTCCACGTGCGCAGGATTGAAATAGTGAATTCTTATTAAAAAATTATTTCTATTTTACTCATCTTAATGATACATAATTAATGATAAATAGACGTTTCGGTCTGTCATCAGACTATTCTCAATATTAAACAAATAATGCATAAACCAAACCTATGGCAGTACTTCGATACATATTCTAACTTATCTCACAACATATATTCGCTTTTTTCGGTATTACAGTTATATACATTTCCTCACGCAAGATTTTAAAATCTAACAATTAATCCTATAATAGGTGAATCGTCAAATTCTGTCATTATTATAATGTTTGCACTACATGTGCTATGCTTTGATATACGATAGAAATTTCCTCGTGACTGAGATGACAGCTTCCTCTCTTTAAACACTTCGATATCATCCGTACGTGCATCGCTGAACTACCAATCTTAGATGTCAATAATTGAACCAAAGAACTTCCTCATTCTAGTCAACATAATAAATTAAAATAAAACTAATGATTCTAGTTAACAATAATAAAATTAGATTAAAGCAAATTGTCAATTGTAAGAACAAGAATTAATATATTATATATTCTAGTCAACACACATAATAAATTAAAATAAAACTTATTGATTCTAATTAACATAATCATTTTCAATAAAAGTAAAAAGTCAATTATAAAAACAAGAATCACTATTATGATTACCTCCGTTAAAACATTTAATCCAGAATAGCAGCACAGCAAGAATCACGACCTAATGATAATATTATAACAGTCGAGAAGGAAAACACACATGATCAACACACAAGAGAGTGAGATTCGAAGGTGAGAGTCGGGCGCCCTTGAAGCAGGGGGGACGGAGGTGAGAGTCGGGCGCCCCTGAAGCAGGGGGAGGGGGGGTGAGAGTCGAAGGGGAGAATCGTGTGCCCCTGAAGTAGGAGGGGTTAGAGTCGGAGGGGAGAGGCGTAAGCCCCTATAGTAAAAAGAAGTTATTTCGTAAACTTCTTTTGTTTATAACTTCTTAATGAGTAACGTCCTGCAATTAAAACTTCCTCAAGGTCACTTGGTGTCATGACCTTGACAACATATGTCAAGGTCAAGGTCATTGGAGGGGGCTCCCCTAATCTGCATATTTACCTTCAAGTCTTTCTCATTGGCAGCTAAGAATATATGAAGAAAAACACGTTTCTGAGGACCATTTGCCTATATTTGTACTTACATTATTTCAACAAATATTAGACTTAAATGACGAGTCTATTACAATTCCAATTTTGCAAATATTAAGCTTGAAATTACGACTTTTAATTATAAACATTTATAAAAATTACAAAACACTTTATAAACATTAGGGTGCGCAAGAAGTGATACATTTATTATTATATAGAAGTTACAGTGCGAACTAGAATAAGATAATTTCCAGAGGTTTATCATGCGATAAAAACCTCGTCCTTTCCGGTTATCACAGAAATAACTAACAGAAATACGCTAAAAGAATATATTTTTTAAACGATTAAAATATAAGATTTAATAAAAGAAGGGGTATTTATAGTTGTGTAAGCTGCGCCTTCTTAATATTATCGCTGTACACGCGGCATGTTCTTCCATGTTCGTGAGAATGAAATGCTATTCAATAAACATTGAATATACATTCGCACTTCGTATATGTTTCTTATGTCGTTCAAATGTCCCGCCTGACGGCGATATGTTGGCGCACGACGCGACGATGACGCAATCGTGCGCAATCGCGAGAGACTTGCGCTGACTTGCGCAAGCATGCGCAAGGTGTAAGGCGAAGGCGACGAAATGGTCAGTACGCATTGTGTATACTGTATCGTTCGTGAACTCCAGCGAATTCTTGTCCCATCCACCGATTTTTTGCCGTTGTCCTTCGATCTCTTCTCACGATGGCGAATGAGACTTGTTCGTCTGGCGAAGTCATGACTGAGGCCGCGAAAACGGTAAATCAGCTCTACAAGATCCACAATCAGGATGACTTCAGCCGGATCACCAAAGGAATCAAGGTTGCACGGTGCATGCAATCACCGTCGTCTTACGGTGAGCTCAGAGCTGTGAACCTGGTTTTGTGAATATTTAACAAGACACAGGAATGCGAGAAACGTATGTTTATTTACTTTCTGCTGAGATCAGACTAGTGCTCCGCCTTTAGAGCGAGACAGAGACGAATGTTCGGATTGGGAACAGAAGGGTGTAGTTAGGAAGGATAGCTCACATATGTGACGTTTGTCAAGGCACCAAGGACACTGAGCAAATTCATGTTCTAGCTAGAGAAGCGTAACTTTCTCTTGAAACAATTTCGCTAAGAGTAGATATTATTTAATAATAATTAAATAAATAAAATGTTTATTGAGTACTGTACTATATGTTGTATGCACCTATTTTTATGTTGTCAATTGTCAATAGGAAAAAATTGCGTAAATATTTGTGCTTATTTAAAGTATCAGATTGTATGACCGTTTTTGTCGTATCTCTTTTGTAAGAGATAATAATAAAAAGATCATACAATCTGATGTCATATATTTGTAGATGCTATCTTGAAACAATTACGCTTATCAGTTTAAAGGCTTGGGATGCAGAGTGAAGAAAATAATATGCATAGCTTAAAATGTTTATGTCTCGATTGTTTAAATTTTATTTAAAATTATTAAAACACGTAGTTTGAGAATATTATGATTTAATATCATTTAACGTGTTGTTATAATAAGATTGATATAATGAGGTTATTTGTTTCACATTAATATTCTATTTCCTAAAATTTACAGTTATATTAAAAATACGTAATACAATAACATTGCTATATGTCGAGTCTAAAAATTACCAGTGAAAACTTTGGCCCGTATTCAGAACGCACTTTTATCGATAAAAGCGCATTTTTATCTCTGAAATTCTATAATATACGTGACGTAAAGTATAGTATGTTAGCGTGCTAACATTGTTGTAAGCGCGTTCTGAATACGGGCCTATGAGTTCATGTCTATAATCAGTTGGATATGATATTAATCAGGAAATTAATGACATTGGATCTCTTTGGGCCATTACAAAGATAAAACTTAATTGTATGAATTGAGGGAAGTTGAATATCATTTTTTGATGAGATTATTCTAAAAAAATAGCAAACTCGTTTTTAATTTTTTAATATGCATGAGAGAAATAGGAAATAGCTAACGGTTTAGTAATAGCGTATTCGATTTACTGACTCGACCCGACTCCGAGTCAATAGTCTGTTCTGTTTAGCTGTAAAAGAAGAGCTAAAGTGTGTAAGAAATGCAGCTAAAAAGAACAGACTATTGACTCAGAGTCGGGTCGAGTAAGTAACCGAATACGCTATAAGATTTCACATGTGGAGTTCACTTCTGCTTTGCAGTACCTGACAGCGAGCAGATAATATGCGAGCTGGTGGTATCCGATTCTTTGTGTTGTTCTTATTGTAATACCGAATTTGAGGACAAGGTGCAACAGAGACTCCACTACAAGCTGGATTGGCACCGTTACAATCTGAAGCAACATCTGAATGGTTTGAAGTCAATTAGTGAGGACAATTTCAATAAGTTGGCCGGCGAAGGTACAGTCTGAGATGAAGTACACGGCGAGCTTTAAGACGGTGCAAAAACAGTTAGGCATGTGGGAATTTTATAGGCGACATGTCTAGCTTGTCTGGTAGCGAGGTAGAGTCCGAGAACGATGATGATGCTGGTACTTCGGAGACTGGGGCTTCATCTAATGAGCAAATCAAGAACGAGTCGTCAAATAAGACTGGACTTGGCAGGTCTAGAAAGATGTCAGAAAGACGCGGGAAGGCAATCGAGTCAGACATTTCGGATACGGAGTACAACGAGGAAATGTCCAAGGAGCGGAAGCTGCAGGTTGTCGCAAGTCGTCACACCAAGGTGTTTTTCGAAAACGATGATGGCAATATATTTAGTATCTACCGGTGTTTGCTGCATCATAAAAAGGTGTGTTTGTTATCGTTAGCAAGATTGTCGTCAATTAAAGTGATGCAAACTTATGCACTATTATTCATTAATCTTCTTTTCAGCTGAACTTGTTGTACTGTTCATTTTTTCTCTTTTTTTCCAACGCAACGTAGAGAAAAAAAGAGGAAAGATAAACGCTGCAAAAAGTTTAACTAAAAAGAACAAGTCTACTGTTACGTATGCTTGGAAGATATATGCTTGCACACGAAGTATCATTTTGATTACTTTGTTAGAGTCGCTTGGCGTGCTCTGTACTTGCCAGATCGGGAGATATGCAATTACGTTTTAGGACATTCCCGAAAAAGACACCGAGATGATCGCTCAGGCACTGGACAGCGGCAGAAAGTCCAAATGGACGGTCATCATGGTCGGTGGTGGACACTTCGCCGCGGCAGTATTTCAGGGTACGCACTACTCTTAAGAATATTTTGATGATGTGCACAATTATTATATCCACTTGTCTTGGTGTATCGCAGATGGTGAGCCTATCGTGCACAAGACCTTTCATTCTTATACCGTGCGAGCAAAACAAGGCTTCGCACAAAATTCTCGTACAAATGGTAATCACGCGAAAAGCGCTGGTGCCAGTTTGCGAAGATATAATGAAGCATCGCTTATTCAGGTAAATTCTGTTTAGACATCTCGCTAGAGACTAATGAGTTATTTAATAGCCAATTAAACTGACAAGTTGCAAGCTGATGTAACGATTCTAGCATGTACAAGAGATATTGGAGTCATGGTCAATGCACATCAACAATTCAGCAGCTATTTTGTACCGAGCGGTCGGTCCACACAATCGTACGGTGCTCTTTGGTGGCAAGAATCCACCCTTAGATAAGAACGATTTTAGAATAAGACCACTGCCATTCCCTACTCGAAGAGCAACGTTTAGAGAAGTTAAGAGGGTATACGATATTTTGAGCACCATGGAGATTTATGGTAAATAATAATAATAATAATAATAGAATAGTTCACAATCTCAATTTAATTTATATTCAATTTGTATCGAACAATTCATTTTTGTCATATCTTAGGCTCTGCAGCGGATTTCACGGACTGTTTCCCCAACTCTCCGCGACAGCCCGTACGGAAGAAGGTCTCGAAACCGGAAATCATGAGCGAGATACCTGAGGGAGAAGTTGCTACGGAGTACAATTCTAATGCTGGTAATATTAGTAGTCCGCAGGATAACGTTAAGACACCTGCGCAGTCTACTCCAGAGAAGCAACATCGGAATTCTCGTCCGCACATAGATAGAGCGAAGCCGAGGAAAAGTCCGAATCGGCCACTGCCAGGTTCATATCATTAATTTGAAATATGAGTAATTAAGATTCTCCACTTTTTTAATTAGGATCCTCCACCAGACATGCTGTGATTATTATTAAAAATAATATTTGCATAAAATTATGTTTATATTATTTCCATATATATTTGAATGTTAGATTAAAAAGAAAAATTTACTATTTTACAGATATAATTGTTAAATTAGCTCAATCGTCCTCTGAGTCCGAAATGGATCCAAATTTTCCAATGGACGTTCCTTTAATTGAAGAAAATTTTGAGGTGTCATTTACAAATTTACAAGCGTTTCAAGATACTGTGCCGAGATACATGAAAAACAAGAAAGCTCATCGACAGAAAAAGAAAGTCAAGAAGGACAGTAAGTCTCACTTTTTTAAATAAGTACAGTAGAACTCTGTTTATCAGAGCATATGCTGGAAGATAAGTTTCGAGTGTTCAGGTAATAGAGAGAACTCACTAGTTCTTTCCTCTGTAGTACCTACTTATTAGTTTCAATAATTTTGGAGCTGACATTCAGAGATGACTGAAGTTGAACATGTTAAACTTTTATTATCCGAACTACACATCCGTAATTCGGATAATAAGAGCTCAACTAAAAGTATATTTGGAACTAAGCACGAATTTGTTCATATAAGTGGAGTGCAGATAAACAAAGTTTTTCTATATCAAAATTGTAATCTTTTTTCAAAAACTTGAGAAAAAGTTTACAGTTTAAATCAAATAATATAAAGATTTTTATGTTGAAATTAAGAGAAAGTGCATTAATACATATTTTCATTTTAACGTATTATATTATTTTCAGATCAGATGAACAATGAAGTGCTGTCGGACGCTAAGATCAAATTATGGACTGCCTGTAAACGGGGCGATAACGATCTGTTATCATCGGTTATTGATACCTTGTTAGCCAAAATTAAGGAGTGCGAAGAGGAGCAAAACAAGAAAGATGTCACAGACAGTTGCGTTATGTCCAACAATACTCTCGTGAGCACGAATGACGTGGCGAAATTAGTTAACGATACCAATGAGGATGGCAATACAATGCTGCATTTGGCAGCACTCGGTGGACATTGTGAGCAAGTGTGGTGCGTACATATTATTATTATTATTAAATAAATTTTATATTTATAACGAAATCTTGAGTAATGTAATTTAATTTATTGATAGGTTGCTGCTGGAAATCGGATCTGACCCTTGCAATAAAAATAAAAAACTGCAGACACCGTATGCTGCTGCAAACGATAAGAAAACTAGAAATACGTTTAGAAGATTTATGGAAGCTAACCCGGACAAGTTCAATTATCAAAAAGTATTGTTAACAACAGAACGTTACATTAATATATCTATTTAAAAAATAGTTTTTATACATTTTTACATATGTATTTTGATGCTTAACAGTCTCAAATACCTGGGCCGCTCTCTGATGAGATAGAACAAGCAGAAACGGAAAAGAAAAGACAGCAGCGGAAGTTGAAACGCTTTAAGGAGAAAGTTAAGAGGAAGGAATTCGAATTGAAGAAGCAGGAGGAAAACGAGAAGCAGAAATTCCTTAATCTCAGCGATAAAGAAAAGGTTAAGCATGTTATACGAACTATTGAAAGTGTATTTTGTTAATAGTTTAAATTGTGTTCTTTCATTGACCGTTTATCTGATTTGTTCTTTCTCTTCGTCTTGTAGAGAGCTTTGATCGTACAGAACCGGATGTTGAGTGAAGGATACACTGTGGTGTCGCGATGCTTCCAATGCGCCATCGATATGACTGACAAGGTGCCTTTCGAGTATAACGCCAATCGTTTCTGCTCAATGCCATGTCTCAAAGAGCACCGTCTTCACAATAAATATGTTATCTGATGGTGCATTATGTCTAGCTAGGAAAACTTTTATGCCAATTACTCATTTGCAATCGTGATTACGAGAGGCTGCATTTACAGTCAAATTACAGTCAACCCCAGATAGCATACGAACGTTCTATAAATATTTATTAAGAATATTTGTACATTCTGTAGATGTATTAAAATATTAATAGTATGTTCATAGTATATTCTAATGCTACAACTGTTCTATGACCATATATAAAATATTTTACACAATGTTCTACATATTTTCATATATGTCTGCCTAATCTTATGCACATAATAAGGTTCCCAGAGAACATTAAAACATCTTAAAGACATCCGAAAATCATACTTTAAGACATCTTAAATAATCTCCTGAGTAGTTATCACAATCATATTGAAATTGTGACGTTAGAAACGAGAAATGACACGTTAATTTTTGTTGTGTAAATAAAACGACGAAAAAAAATAACGAGATCGCGTTAAAACATTTGTAAAAATGGACGAAAACTGTGCTTATTTCCCCTGATAGTAAATAATCGTAAAAAATGATAAAAGGTATGTGTAAGTGAAAATAGGCTACGCATTGAATAAAAGTATTTCATCATTTACGAATCTAAATTGTTTTTATTTACAAATGGCATGTGATAAAAATTAACGTGTCATTTCTGATGTCATGATTTCAATGTGGCTGTGATGACTACTTAGGAGCCTTAAAGTCATATTTTAAGACATCTTAAAATGATCATAAAGATGTCTTATGACCCACTTTGTCTTTAGGGAGTTTTTCAAACGCTCTATATTTAGACGTTTTAAATCATGACTCACGTCTTTTAGATATCTTATAAAAGACATTTGCGATCTCCTTTAGACGTCTCTAGACGTTATAATGTTTTCTGAGAAATAATTTATTTAGGCCTTGCAGCAACATTATTTTTACTTTCTTTTTTTAATGCCGTGAGAAAGAGTTCAGTTAATGCCGAGAAATAGAGTTTTAAACCTCGCTTAAAATCAAAGTAACATTGATACAATCTTAGACATAAATTTTAGAATTTTAGATTATATTAGCCGTGTCGATATTTACACTGCCATTTACTTACCACCTTTCCGTACCACATCAAAATTTCTCAGGGGGTAATTAGATAATATTATTAACATATTCTCCAATGCCTGACTCTTGGAGACAATTGGCACTAGTTTGGTAACTCTGGCGGAAACTGTATCAGCTATGGTGCACCAGCTTTGTTGGATCAGGCCCAGACATATATAAAAATACTTAGAACTCTTTTACTCGAAATAAAGTTTTGAAATGCGGCCCAGAGGAACATTCTATGAATGTTCTTTTTATTATGAATATTAATTTAATTAAATGAATATTCTATATACCATATGTGTAGGATTTTCGATTAAAATATTCTGTACATGTGTATTTTATAAGAATATTTTATAGAACATTTTGTGCTATTTGGGATTGTACATAAGTACCGAATTCTACGGCTTGTAGAATTTGTCTTGTAATAATTTCACTATAGAAAGGAATTTTGATGATATCATTGTGTTTTTCTTTGGAATATTCTTTTATAATAAAGCATGATGATTTTCAGAAACTTATGAAGAACGCGAGCATTTCTTGATTTTAATAAAGTCAAAGAAACTGGACCATAAGAAAATTATGACATATAAAGAATTTTGATATGTAAATAGCGATGTAAAGAGATGAATGATATGATCGAAGGATTTAAAGAATTCTTTCGGGCTATAACAATGGATTATATATTTCGATCTATATATAATCGGATGTACACAGAGGGCACGTTTTTTACAAGGTATAATGTATTACTCTATGCATATTTCGACTAATATTTGACATCTTTACTCGTGTATTAAATGCCATACATATAGTATATAGGAGTAAAATGACATACTGCTAAAAGAAATAATAACTACTCAACGTTCACATATACATTTGCGTTCGAAATATTCGCGGAAAGATTACGCATGTATACATACAGGATGCTTAAGTATAATTTATTTCTAATGTTTTTCTTGAAACTGAGAGAAAGATATTGCCAAGAAATTAGAAAAAATAATATCAAATAAGAAAAGTTAACATTTCAATAGATTATGGCCAGTATTCATAATTGATTCTTATAGGTATTTAAGACTGTCTTAAGTATAATCTTAAGATGTCATGAACCAATAAAATGGTATTAGCATCTTGAGTCATTACTTAAGATGGTCTTGAAATAAAAATGGACTATGAATGCCGGCCTATGAGTATATTATATAAATATATAAGAAAACTCGAGACTTAACATATTAAAATAATTTTTTCTATACAATAATTTTCTGGCTAATTTGTAAATGATGTGCGACAAACAGAATTAACGAAAAGTAAATCAGATTAAATTAGAAACTTTAAGATATTAATGAAATCGTTTAAAGAAGTTAGAGTTTTATAGATCGCCAATTAATATTTAATTATTAATTTAGAAATAATAAAACAGCATAATTATTCGGATAAAAAAATCATTAATATCAGAAGAATATTCTATTTTTCTATTAATTATTAATAAAATCTGCAGAGATGATTTTATCAAAGGCACCCTATACATATCCGATTGATCGTAAAATCGTATTAATGACTAGTATCATCAAAAACGAACATTCGCTTGCGCGTATTGTATATTATCCTAAAAAATTGATTTCACGATTAACAATACGACGTAATCCCGGAGATTCGGCACGGTTTTTGCAAGCGAAGAATATCTCCGATGAGAAATGAAAAGTACGTTGAAGAACATCAAATGATTTCACAGATTCAACTGTAACGATGCAACAGTCGACATCCAGCAGTATATTATAACTCTCCATTGATGTATGTACAAGGTGACTGTCTTTACACTTACTCCCTACAAGCTTGATAAAAATAGTGCACAAAATACACATTTTGTGCAGAACGATCGAACGGTCTTACGCGATTGTTTGGAAATTCGATTGGAACGGACGTGGATCGAAAACCCGAGGTCTAACTTTGACGAGGAATGAGAAGAAAATTTTTCGGCATCGCGAGTTTCTTCGATCGCCCTATATATATCTTTCCTGGCTTCCTTCTTGAACATTCGAGATATGTACAAAGCAAAAATTATTTCGGAATCGAGAAAGTTGTGAAGCATAGATCTGAGTATCATTTAGGCTGAACGCATGCGGAGTATCGCGTGTATCGTGGTCCTCTCTGTTCGTGCAAAAATAGGTGTTCTGCACTCGATTTTTTACTGGTTCCGATCCCGTCGGGAAACGACGAAACGTCGAGTGCAGTTCATTTAAGTACAAAATATCTTTGTTCGAGATTTTTGTTCGAGATCATCTTTTATGTTTTCTTTGTATCGATTTTCCTCGTGTCTGCCTTGATCGCGGTGTACAGTCTGATTTATACTACTCTCGTTTCACTGATTTGAGATACATGCAGTGTACATATAGTCTCTCTTCAGTGTCTAACATAGCAGTGTAAATTTAAACTTGAAAATTTTCATCGTACAACAATTTTACACAACGATAATATTTTGATTCAAGATTTCTCATTAAGATTTCGCACTCTCATTTATATGGAAATTCATATTGAAATTTTCAAATCGAAAATTTAAGAGTCTGTAAAATAATAATGGAGGATTTTTCTTCTAGAATTTTTGTTTGAATTTTTGTTGAGTATATTTGTTGAATAATTAATTATTCAAACAAATTGATATTAAATGACGATATTTAATTAGTCGTACTAATTGATGTATCTGTGAAAATGATAATGGCCAATGTATTAATCTTGTGGTGACCGAAACGTCTGCTTAAAATTATAAAACCTGAATCAGTTTAATCGTTCCGATCATTTTCATTATTAATGTAAATTTTTACAACGACGTAAACTGCTATTGAAATTTTTTTAAGTAGTAAAAAGTCTGTATGTAATACATTTTCCGCTTTTTCCGAGATTGGCTAATCAAAATAATTGAATTCTCTTCGTTTCTTCAGAATCTAAATCGTAAAGCTTAGCAACAGCAATCAAAGCGATCTTATGAACCAGATTCATCTCGTGGCGATGATATGTGACATCACTTCTAATCGTTTAGATCGATGTGGAATCGTCCGTATCGGTGTCGTCACCGTAGAGACCCCTGCCATCGGTTTTCGTCCACGAGGTCGCGGTAGTTTCTACGCCAACCTCGTACCTATTCTGCTGTTGGGCATTGTTGGATGGCACGATCCTTACGTAGGTCTCCCTCACGCCCTTCTGCTCCGTAATGTCCTTAGTCCTCTCCTCGCAGCTGGCGGACTTGGAGCGGACCTTCTCCTCTGGCTTCTTCGCCATCGTCTCGATCGACTCCAGCGAGCTCTTTCTGCGGCTGCTCCTGCGATTTGACCTGACGATCTGATTGCCAGTGGCAGAGGGCTTTCTGCCCACCTTCGGAGAATTCTCGTTCTCCAGATACTTCCGAATCCACTTGGGCGTCTCACTCGAGTATGCCTGTGCCTTCTTCGCGTACTTGCCGGGTGTGCTCGGCAAGATCATCGGTATCTCTGTCTCGATCACCGTCGTGATCACCTGCTCGTTCTCGTCGAAATTGCTCTCCAGGAATTTGCGCTTTGGCGTGCCGCCCACGCTTAGCTTGCCGAGCGTCGAGACGCTGCCGCTCTCGTCGCTACCGGGCGTCTCGTACGTGTACGAATAATGCCGCTGGATGTGCTTCGGCTCTTTTTCCTGTTGTTGCTGACCCTGTTCCTTGTCTTCCTGCTCCTTGCTCTCGCTCGTCTCCTGGTTCCGTCTATTCTCTTCTTTCTCGATTCTCTTCAGCTTCTCGAGCGCGTCGTCGATCGAGTATCGCGGTGATTTCCTGCCGGTGGTGCTAAACTCTGGCAACTTTACCGGTGATAACAGTGATTGCCTCAAGTTGCCGGCGATACTGTGCCGTTGTCGGACAGGTGGATCCAGCAGCCGGCGTAAGCTTGAGTTTCTGATTTCCGGCACCGACATTCTCTCCCGCATCGGAATCGGCGGTGGTTTACCACCGCGCCCGGTCTTCCCGAATGGAATGATTTCTGATTTGGGTGGCGACGGTGACTTTGACGGTTTTCTGCCCGTGAATGGGAAATCCGGCGCGAGGAATCGTCTCTCACCGGGTGGAAAGATCGGGGACGTGCTCGCGACAATAACGCTCTGCAGACCTTCGCAGGTAGGACTCTTCAGTCTGTCAGACGTCAACCCCATGAGCTCCTCGGTCTTCATTTGTTGATGCTCGAAAATCGGCGAACTGGCGATTGGTAACAACCGCGATTTACAGCTGTCTTGACTGTCTAGACTGAAACGCTGCTTCGTCAGCTGACTATCCAGGCTGAAGCGTTGCTTGGGCGTGCCGGCTATCAGTCGCAGGTCGTTCTGCGTCTCCAACTCCGGTATTGAGAATCGATCGCGATTGAACTTCACCTGCGCAGCATTGCCGCCCAGATCTTTGATATTTCGATACTTAGCTCCGATGTCCAGCTGCGAGAGACGATCGCGCTGACTTACCTGCAGGATGGCAGGCCCGAATCTCTTATGTTTAAGAGGAAAAGGTGGTGGCGAGGATGAATGCATTCCGATACCGCTGCTGAGACACGGTTGGGATAGTCGCTGTTGCGTCCGACCAGGATAGTAGTCGCCGGTGACGAGAGTGGGCTGCGACAATCGCTCGCGCTTATCATGTCGCAAGGCAAACCGACGGATGTCCGGCTGCGAAAGTCGTGACGAGCTTCGCTCCATCGTCAGACTGCCACGGGGGCTTCCGCTGCCACCCAGGGCATGCACGTTTGGTGTCGATAGCCTCTCTTCCTCGTTGATACTGTTATCGCCCGAAGTGGCACGTAGACTTGTGTAGGATAGACGGCCTCCACCGCTGCCGCGGTGCATGCTGAAGTTGAACGAATTGATGCCGCTCAGGCTGGAGTTGAGGGTCGGCTGCGACATGCGGATGCGACGGTCTGGCGAACCGCCCGATCGCCGATCGTACGAGATCAGCAGGGTCGGTAGATTTGGCTGCGAGTAACGACTGCGTTGACTCGCGGGCGAGTAACTCGGTGGACAGGGGGTGGTTGAACGGGTGCATTCGTAGGTGCCCGAGTCCTGGGATTCGATGCTCGACTGTGACTGCGGTGGTATCTTGACGGGAGTGATATGCAGATTCGGATGAGATAACCGGTTCTTGCGCCCCTGGCCCGGTCGCTTCAGATGGTCGATCAGATTCGGCTGGGACAGCCGGACGATGCATGGATTCGGGCGTCGGTTCAGG